TCTTGTTGTCTTCTGTTTGAACAACTTGGGGATTGTCCTTTCAACTTATATAACCCCTATATAACCCATTATAGTAGTTTCCATTTTCTTTTCCATTATACCAATACTAGGCATGAGTCGGTAAGGAGATGGAGGCCCAGAGCCAGCTGCTGGCGAGGCTCTTTGCTGCTGGCAAGTTGACCTTGGAGGAGTGCAAGCAAGCCTGTGCGGCTGCTGCCAGGCAAGGTTGGTGATAGTATCATGTTTGCATACTTTTGTATGTATAGAAATGAGGTCATAAATCATCAAGGAAGGCTGGTAAGCCACGCAATGGTTCCTGTGACGTTGAGGTCCGTGACTCTTTGGTGACCATCTCAAGCAGACCTAAGAACCAAGTCACGACCCATTTGAGGCATTTTCGGCGAGAAGAAAACATCATCGTAGTGACTGCCCCAGTTGTGGTGGTGGGTTCCCTTCGCGGCCAGCTGCGGGACTTATTGGCCATCTTTCAGATGTGCGGCCCAGTGCCTGAAACCAGCTACCTTTTCCTGGGGGACTACACTAGCTCAGGCGGACGGCTGTTCATGGCAGTTTTCAAACGTTTTGAGCAGGTTATGCAAGGCCTTGCAAATCCTCAGGCGCTTGATAATGCTTGCATTTACCAGACGTCCCAGCGCAGGTCCTGATCCGTGCGACACCATCGCATTGCTGCTTCTGCTGAAAGCCCGCTTTCCTTCCAAAGTCACGCTGCTGCGTGGGAAGGGCGAACAGCGCCAGATGACTCAGGAACCAGCCTCAGATTTGCCGACCATGGCAGTCACTATGCAATCCTGCTTGCATGTCCTTTGTTGTTCCGCTGCAAACACATAACATGTTTGCCTGCTTGACATGTAAGCAGGTGTATGGCCTTCACGACGACTGCATGCGTCAGTTTCATTCTGGTGGTGCCGAAGTTTGGGAAGCCTTCTGCGACTTGGGGCAGAGTCGACAAGACGCATTGTAAAAGGGAGTTGTTGATAAAGGGTGGCCAGGCGTGAGGGCGATTCCTCTTGCAGAGAGTGTTCAAGACCAGGTGACTGCTTCGATCATATGCCTCTAGCAGCAGTGGTGAACGAGCCTTCCCTGCAGAGATGTGGTGCACAGTGTGAGTGGGCATTGATGCCAGCAGTATAGGGCTCCAGGACCCCAAGTTACAGGTGCATGAAAGGTGCATGGAGGGTTGTAGAGGGATTGGCGGGCGCTTTGAAGACGAGATTCTCTGGCAGCATCGCTAGCTTTTGTGTCTCCTCCAGATCTTATTGCTTCATTATTCTAACCTCAGGCTTCTGGCATACCTGAGGAGAAAATCCTGTGCGTGCACTCCGGCTTCTCCCCTGAGCTGGAGGATTTGCAAGAGCTTCGCGATCTGGATCGTCACAGAGATTATGGACACGAAGGCCCTCATACTGCTGATGTTTGCTGTACCACTGTGCACTACGATTGCTGCTTTGGGTGTCTCCCACTGGTTTCAGAACCAAACCTTTTGTTGGGCACTGACTGCAAAATGATACTGCTCATCTAGACATGAGCGACCCGGCCTCCCGGATCCCCGCAGCCTGATAATAGCAATAACCCACAACAGGCCTGCTCAAGTGACCAGCTGATTTGTGGAATCTGGAGCGCGCGAATTTGCCGAACCGAGCCGTCGTCTCAACGTATAATCTCAAGCCAACATTCCACCTGGCACTCGTACGACAGTGGGTTCCGCGGTCTCCCCCCCCAAACACCAAAGCCTGAAGCCCTCAGCATGTGGCCCCTTGTCGCATAGTCCTTGCCGGAAGGGGTGTCTCTTGCGTTCCCACAATATCGTGGGACACTCAACATGATGACCACGCAATGAAGCAGCAAGGGGCCACAACTCCACATATTCATATCCGGGCTTGTCAAATAGCAACTCCACAAAATTACCTGGGGCCCCTCTGAGCCCTCCTCTCTGGAGGTTGCTAGACCCTAAAACCTAAACCCTACACCCCAAAAACCCTACGTACATCCTAAATGGCTTGATTGCTTGATCTTCCAGCAGGTCCGATGGCGGACATGCTTTGGTCCGACCCAGAGGATCGCACAGGCATTTTTTTCCCGACATGAGAGAGGGGTTAGAGGTTAGGGTTTAGGGTGTCTGCGCGTTGCTGGTTGCATTTTTCTAGGAGGCACGGCAAGACTGAGCTCAAGTTCAGATAATCAGATACTCGCACCCCAAAAGCACGAATCATGCTGATTGCCTGTGATGTTCTTCCTCTGATTTCTGCTATTGTTGCCGTTTGTTCTTACCAGTTACTGCTCGTTTGATGAGCACATGGTAACATGAGTCTTACTTCCAATCTGCGGTCCGGATTGGAAAGTAGTTCATGCAGATTTCACTACATGATTCCACCCAATGGGGGCGGAGATTTGCCGCGAATCCTAGACATCCTAGACCAGCCAGGTGTGGCTTTCTCACAATGTTCGGCATCTTGCTTTTGGGATTGAGATTGTTGCAAGCTAAATTGGGACGCTGATTTTGGGAAATTGACACAGGCGTATGTCTCAGAACTGCGCCACCCTCACCCAAAAAAGAGATCATGGAAATTATTAGTAGGGACGCCTTGAAAAAACGCCCTCATTTGAGGAAACTTCTGAATGGAAACTTTGAAGTTAAGTATCGGGGGTGTCGTCAGGACAAACTCATAATCGACCCGAAGCTGTGAGGCTGGAACATCGCACCCAAGAGTGTTGGCTACAGCTTTGGTGAGGCCGGCACCGTAGTTGTCTGCACCGGCCGGTGATCTGTTGCTCTGTAGTAATGACTTGTACTAGATGACAGAACATGACTAAGAAGTATGCCGGCCCCTGGCTTCCAAAGAAGTTTTACAGTCTAAAGCTGCGCGGCTTGATCTAGTGGGGGATGCCATGCGATTTAAAACATCGACTATGTTGAGCAAGCAATAGCAAGCAAATCGTTAGTGCTCGACCCAGAATCCAGGGAGTATCCCAAATATTTCTCCATTCTGTAAAACCAAAATAATTCCGGTGTGAGTCCCATATAGTCGGATCTGATTATTAGATGAATTTGGGGTCTGGGAATTTGAAGCCAAAAGAAGTCTAGCTGTGAAAGAGGAAGTTGCATTAAACCAAATGATAGGTCGTCAGAATTATGGTCTGGTTTTGAGTGTCCTAACCATTACGACATTACGATAAGGATTATATTAGTGACCAAGACAGGACTACAGTTTGGAAAGCTTACCCCTGTCTAGCCTACAAGACCCAGAACCAGGCCCAGCATCATTTCGAACGCTTGTCCGCGACAAGGACATCACTGCTGACTTTCTGCAAGCCAACAAGCTTTCACTGCTCATCAGATCGAAGCAGCTGTTCCTGGGCCACCATTAGAAAGGACATAGAATGTCATTGAACATCAGATGGGAATTAGAAGTTTTTTGCCCCGAGATGACCCTGAAACCTGAGTACTGAGACACCTCCCCACTTGACATGCGTGGGAAGGTCTTTCTGCCAACCCGTTTCACACAGCTCCGGGAGCTATGCTGCATTAGTCAAGAAATACTTGAACTCCCAGTACACGAAGAAGTTTTGGCAGGTGCAATCTGTAGGCTCCGGGTGTTTTGTTTTTGGTAGGACGCAGCCTCCCACTACCTTAGCGGGAGGCAAGGGCTAAGGGTGTCATTGGTTTTCTGTGGCCTGCGCCGCTGAGAAAGTGGAGGGAAGGGCCAAGGGTTTACATCGTTTCCGTGCTGCCTTGCCCAACAGTAGGCAGAGGTCTACAACCTCTTACAAACCCCGTCAAGCTGGTATCGAAATGCCAGCCTAGACCCGCCTATAACGCCTATGGGGAGAACCACCCCACCTTTTTAGTGGATGGGAGAACAAGATAGTGCCCTATTAGACCCCTGTACAAATTCAGTGTTCATGTCAGTATCTTTTTCCTTGTCAATCTGATCTCGCAGTATTATTGTGGCAAGTAAAAATGTTCCAGGTGCATTGATGGCTATGCAGTGCCTGGGCTGCAGATAGCGTTCGTGATGCTGATGCTAGGTATAGGGCTTGGGGCTGATAATGTCATGCCGTTGATGGACAACATTTTGCATGACTTGGCACTGTAGGATGGTGCATCATTCGTCTATCAGCCGTATGGGAGGTTGTTAGAGTGTGTGCTTGCCTTGGGTCCCTTTATGCAAAGGCCCTGAGGACTGTGAGGCTACCCCCGAAACTATGTCCATCATTTTGGCATCTTGGCAACCCAACATGGAAAAGTGGTTTCTCATTGTTGCTTGATGTGTAACTGTCCTTTGGAGTTTCGCTACAAAAGTATGTGAGTGTCCTTCATGATGGCCGGATGGAATCATGCTAGCTCCTGTGTTGGTCACCAAAACACTAATTGCATTTGTCGCTTTGTCTCCTTTGGTTTGGAAAAAGGTTTGTACTCCCTTTTAACTGGGTTGCTGTTAAGG